CTTGTGTTAAGTGGCGAACCCAGCAGTGGGCGAAAGGAGAGCTCGATTATTTTACCACTCACTAATTGACAACGAAAAAAAACAAAAAAAAAAAACAAAAAAAAAAACAAAAAAAAAAACGATATATACCAGATTTTGTAAAACGATTTCTTAAATCATTAGGTCAAAAAAGTCAGAAAGCTGAGACATAAGACGAGGCTTCTTTAGCCATGATTACGGAATGTAGTATCCATAGAGTAGTTCACGCCTATGCCCTGTCACGTGGCGGTCCGCAGGGCTACCGACCCTTATTGGCCCTTACGGTCCCCCACCCATAGGATCCTCGCTATATAGCACCCTCTTCCAAAAGAGCTTTGTTGATACATAACAGCATAATATGTCTCTGACATGGACTGTAGGATTAATCCAAGGGGGATGGGGTACCCAGCCGGCCATGACCCCCCACCCCACCTACATTTGTAAAAGTTTATACTTATTCAAATTTTAAGTCACATTGAGTGCCATTCTAGGGTCTAGAGGTACTTTAATCATCCTTTGCAACTCCAAGTATACAGGATATGTCATTGATTAGACCTTTGGGACGCCCGTAAGAGGAGGGGTACCAAAGGGAGAGGAACATAGCTCCCGTCGGGAAAAAACTTATGACATTGGCATAAGTGTCCTTGTGTTTATCATTAACGTTATAATTGTCGAAGCAACTGAATCATTACCATCATCATCATCATTAGTTTATAAGTAAAAGTAATTTAGGATCATTAAGCTGGGTCGAGATCGTACAGTTGCTGCAAACATGGTGTTTCTGTAGGCCTATATTTCACAAATAAGAAACAAGCTCCGGGGGTTGCCTAATTCGAAACTAGCTCCGGCTATATAAATGTGATCATAAGGCTGAAAATAAATAATATTATTATGTATAATGTATCGAATGGGCAACAATGATTTGCCTAGTGGAGTTTACTCCATAAGAAAAACAATATTAATAGATGAAACCTTGTATGAGATAATATTGTACTCAAATTGTAGAAGTTGGTGCATATA